ACCAGAGACCAGAGACCCAGGGACCAGAGACCAGAGACTCAGGGACCAGAGACCAGGGACCAGAGACAGAGACCCAGGGACCAGAGACCCAGGGACCAGAGACCCAGGGACCAGAGACCCAGGGACCAGAGACCAGAGACTCAGGGACCAGAGATCAGGGACCAGAGACCAGAGATTCAGGGACCAGAGACCAGAGACTCAGGGACCAGAGACCAGAGACCAGGGACCAGAGACCAGAGACCAGAGACCAGAGACCAGAGACCAGAGACCAGAGACTCAGGGACCAGGGACCAGAGACCAGAGACCAGGGACCAGAGACCAGAGACCCAGGGACCAGAGACCAGAGACCCAGGGACCAGAGACCAGAGACCCAGGAACCAGAGACCCAGGGACCAGAGACCCAGGGACCAGAGACCCAGGGACCAGAGACCCAGGGACCAGAGAACCAGGGACCAGAGACCAGGGACCAGAGACCCAGGGACCAGAGACCCAGGGACCAGAGACCCAGGGACCAGAGACCCAGGGACCAGAGACCAGAGACCAGAGACCCAGAGACCCAGGGACCAGAGACCAGGGACCAGAGACCAGAGACCAGAGACCAGAGACCCAGGGACCAGAGACCCAGGGACCAGAGACCCAGGGACCAGAGACCAGGGACCAGAGACCAGGGACCAGAGACCCAGGGACCAGAGACCAGGGACCAGAGACCAGAGACCAGAGACCAGAGACCAGAGACCCAGGGACCAGAGACCCAGGGACCAGAGACCAGAGACCAGAGACCCAGGGACCAGAGACCAGAGTCCAGAGCCAGGACCCAGGGACCAGAGACCAGAGACCAGAGACCAGAGACCCAGGGACCAGGGACCAGAGACCCAGGGACCAGAGACTCAGAGACCAGAGACCCAGGGACCAGAGACTCAGAGACCAGAGACCAGAGACCCAGGGACCAGAGACTCAGAGACCAGAGACCAGAGACCCAGGGACCAGAGACTCAGAGACCAGAGACCAGAGACCCAGGGACCAGGGACCCAGGGACCAGAGACTCAGGGACCAGAGACCAGAGACCCAGGGACCAGAGACCAGGGACCAGAGACCAGATATCGCAGGGACCAGAGACCAGAGACCAGAGACCAGAGACCAGAGACTCAGGGACCAGGGACCAGAGACCAGGGACCAGAGACCAGAGACCAGGGACCAGAGACCAGAGACCCAGGGACCAGAGACCAGGGACCAGAGACCAGAGACCCAGGAACCAGAGACCCAGGAACCAGAGACCCAGGGACCAGAGACCCAGGGACCAGAGACCCAGGGACCAGAGACCAGGGACCAGAGACCCAGGGACCAGAGAACCAGGGACCAGAGACCAGAGACCCAGGACCAGAGACTCAGAGACCAGAGACCAGAGACTCAGAGACCAGAGACCAGAGACCCAGGGACCAGAGACTCAAAGACCAGAGACCCAGGGACCAGAGACTCAGAGACCAGAGACCCAGAGACCCAGGACCAGAGACTCAGAGACCAGAGACCCAGGGACCAGAGACTCAGAGACCAGAGACCAGAGACCCAGGGACCCAGAGACTCAGAGACCCAGGACCAGAGACCAGAGACCCAGGGACCAGAGACTCAGAGACCAGAGACCCAGGGACCAGAGACCCATGGACCAGAGACTCAGAGACCAGAGACCCAGGGACCAGAGACCCAGGGACCAGAGACCAGAGACCCAGGGACCAGAGACCAGAGACTCAGGGACCAGAGACCAGGGACCAGAGACAGAGACCCAGGGACCAGAGACCCAGGGACCAGAGACCCAGGGACCAGAGACCCAGGGACCAGAGACCAGAGACTCAGGGACCAGAGATCAGGGACCAGAGACCAGAGATTCAGGGACCAGAGACCAGAGACTCAGGGACCAGAGACCAGAGACCAGGGACCAGAGACCAGAGACCAGAGACCAGAGACCAGAGACCAGAGACCAGAGACTCAGGGACCAGGGACCAGAGACCAGAGACCAGGGACCAGAGACCAGAGACCCAGGGACCAGAGACCAGAGACCCAGGGACCAGAGACCAGAGACCCAGGAACCAGAGACCCAGGGACCAGAGACCCAGGGACCAGAGACCCAGGGACCAGAGACCCAGGGACCAGAGAACCAGGGACCAGAGACCAGGGACCAGAGACCCAGGGACCAGAGACCCAGGGACCAGAGACCCAGGGACCAGAGACCCAGGGACCAGAGACCAGAGACCAGAGACCCAGAGACCCAGGGACCAGAGACCAGGGACCAGAGACCAGAGACCAGAGACCAGAGACCCAGGGACCAGAGACCCAGGGACCAGAGACCCAGGGACCAGAGACCAGGGACCAGAGACCAGGGACCAGAGACCCAGGGACCAGAGACCAGGGACCAGAGACCAGAGACCAGAGACCAGAGACCAGAGACCCAGGGACCAGAGACCCAGGGACCAGAGACCAGAGACCAGAGACCCAGGGACCAGAGACCAGAGTCCAGAGACCCAGGGACCAGAGACTCAGGGACCAGGGACCAGAGACCAGAGACCCAGGGACCAGAGACCCAGGGACTGGAGACCAGAGACCCAGGGACCAGAGACTCAGGGACCAGGGACCAGAGACCCAGGGCCCAGAGACCCAGGGACCAGAGACCAGAGACCAGAGACCCAGGGACCAGAGACTCAGGGACCAGGGACCAGAGACCCAGGGACCAGAGACCCAGGGACCAGAGACCAGAGACCAGGGACCAGAGACCAGGGACCAAAGACCAGACACTCAGGGACCAGAGACTCAGGGACCAGAGACTCAGGGACCAGAGACTCAGGGACCAGAGACTCAGGGACCAGAGACCAGGGACCAGAGACCAGAGACCAGAGACTCAGGGACCAGAGACCCAGGGACCAGAGACTAGAGACTAGAGACCAGAGACCAGAGACCAGAGACCAGAGACCAGAGACTCAGGGACCAGAGACCCAGGGACCAGAGACTAGAGACCAGAGACCAGAGACCAGAGACCCAAGGACCAGAGACCCAGGGACCAGAGACCCAGGGACCAGAGACCCAGAGACCAGAGACCCAGAGACCAGAGACTCAGGGACCAGAGACCCAGGGACCAGAGACCAGAGACCAGGGACCAGAGACCAGAGACCAGAGACTCAGGGACCAGAGACCAGAGACCCAGGGACCAGAGACCAGAGACCCAGGGACCAGAGACCAGAGACCCAGGGACCAGGGACCAGAGACCAGGGACCAGAGACCAGAGACCAGGGACCAGAGACCAGGGACCAGAGACCAGAGACTCAGGGACCAGAGACCCAGGGACCAGAGACTAGAGACCAGAGACCCAGGGACCAGAGACCCAGGGACCAGAGACCAGGGACCAGAGACCAGGGACCAGAGACCAGGGACCAGAGACCCAGGGACCAGAGACCCAGGGACCAGAGACCCAGGGACCAGAGACCAGAGACCAGAGACCCAGGGACCAGAGACTCAGGGACCAGGGACCAGAGACTCAGGGACCAGGGACCAGAGACCAGAGACCCAGGGACCAGGGACCAGAGACCAGAGACCAGGGACCAGAGACCAGGGACCAGAGACCAGAGACCAGATTCAGATTCAGATTCATTTATTTGCCATTTGCAGTAAAACCACATTGGAAAAACTGTGCAAGACTACCCCGGTGTGCACCAGACAGAGAAGACGACACACACCAGAGCTCTTGCCACGGCGCCATCTTTACGGCGGCGCCATGCGACAAACAGTAGAATAAACAGCAGAGAGCAGTAACACACAGTTTCACAGACAGTTGGATAGACACATTTGTGCTTTGTATAAACCACAGATTTTTTCTCGG